TCTAATTTGCAGGGATGATATTCAAGACCCAGTCAGCTTAGCTGACATGTTCGTGGTAGTGACAAATCCAGCCGGCAGCCAGCGTCCACTCATTGAAGCTTGGAGGGGTGACACCTGCAAGTGCATCCTATTCCCAAGCTTTCATGTGGGCAGTTAATCACAGTCAACAGCAAGTTTTAGTATTTTATGCTGTAGGACAGACTCTAGCTAAGGCTGGGTGGCAGAAGCTGTCTTAAATTCACATCCACCCTTCTCTCTGCCCTTCCACGGGCTCATGTTCTCGGCCTCTGACCCAAAGCCACGTCATGGAAGCAGAAGGTGGTGTTTAGTGGTTGCGTTGCTCCCAACAAGCTGCTTTTTTTGGTGCCGTGTTTGAGACAGAAAGCCTCTGAAGTGGCAAAATCCTCTGCCTGAGGATCTCCAGAAACTTCCTTCCTCCAGTTTATATTTAATGACACCGAGTCCCTCATCCTCTTTCTTATTTCGACACGTTTCAAACTTCTCCCCGTGCTGCAGCAAATCTCTTCTTTCAACTTCTTCAAACTTTAAACGTTCGTTGTCTGTTAGCTGTGATTCCCGATCGGCTGTCTGCGACCCTGAGGAGGTGGGTCCTTTTATTCAGGCTATCATCTCTTCTTCTTGGTGGCCAAAAGGCCTGTGAGCAAGGAAGGCAGCACAAATGAGATTTATGAAGGCGTATACCACTGGCAATCTAAAAACATAGGTGGGAGGTGTGTGCATCGTCTTCTGTCCTTTGGATAATGACCAGTCACTTTGGGGTACACGTTAAAGGCATCACTTTTAAGCGCCAGGAATACCCCAAACTCCCACATTGCCTGTCTGCTTTGTTTTTTTGGATTTGCATTTCATGAACATGCATCAAAAATGAACTGTGCTCCTAAAGCCTTGGTGCAGACCTGCCCAGCGCCCTATTTTGCCATTGCTAGAGCTGCTTGCAGGCATTTCCTTGTCTCCATGCTACCCTCTCGACCTACAGCTGGCATTTTGACTTGCCTTTCATTGCCGATCAAGGCCCATGACACATACCGTGGAGGGGATCATTACCTCCCAGAGGTTTCCCAGCGTTCCAGCTGCCCACGATTTCAGGTCCTGTATTTTTCGTTCCCATTTAATAAGTTGCCCTCGGAGAAAATGAACGGCTGCTGTCGACTCCGAGGGTGGGTTTCCTGTCCTAACCGGAGAACAGCAGGGCATTACTTTTCTTTTCTTAGTAATTTGATATTTTGTGCTGTTCTTGAAACGGTTCGTTTAAAAGCTCACGTTGCCTGGCAGTGAAAGCAGCTTCACAGAAGATGGACAGAAGCAACCTGGTTTTGTTCTTTCAGGTGCATTGAAGCTGACATCCTCTTTATCCACAGCACAGCTCCGGTTGTATGATTCGAAGACAAGTTTGCTATGTTGGGCCTTGCCAAAATCCCTCCTTCCTGCCCTGGAGAGACTCTCTCGGGTGGCCCGTTTAATCTCTTTGTGAAGGTGCCACAAAGTGTTGTGGTGGACTTGGTGATTTCACCTGTTAGCTGCTAAACTAGGACAGCCGATCCCTTTTGTGTAGGGCATCAAAGGGATACTGAATTGTGCCAGATGCTGATCTCTGCTGACCCCAGTCGGATCTGGATCTGTGAACTCAAAATGAAAGGCTGTCTACTCCGGAAATTGTGCTATCTAGTTCTTCATCTGCCCAGTGTTCATGCACTTCACCCGCTTCCTGGGCTTGTAGCTGGGTTGTTGATGATTTCGGTGTAGCAGGCACAGAAAGAGGAATTCCCTGTGTGAAGCGCAATGCCCGTTTCGAATCGGGGACTGATGGCTGCGTAGAAAGAAACGTTTGCAAAAAAATATTCAGGACTGATATTCTCAGAACCGAGACTGAACTTCAGCCGAGCATCCGGGCTGGCCGCGGTCTAATAGTTTCTGATCCGTTCTTGCTCAGACTATGGAGCGAGGATTTCAGTGCATGTTGAATCTGCTCGGTAGATTGTTTTTCTTTGTAATGGTTTTGCATACCTCTAGGTCCCTTCCTGAACTGAGAAGAGGCCTCAAGATCAATCTGACCAGATCATCTGCAATGCTTTCTTCAGAAATGCTAATAGGAGAGGTTACTTCTTCGCCCTCCTCCCACCCCTGCGTTGGTTGATGAAGCAGTGATTTCCAGTTTTTGCCACACAAGACCCCATCTAAATAGACCTTGACGTTTAGCCCTTTCCTTAGTTTCACCTGCTTGGCCCAGTGAAGCATTAACATGGCAGCACAGATATTCCTATTTATTGGTTTAGCTTGTAGTATGAGCTGCTGTTGCCTGCGAGGAAAGGGCAGAAGGACTGCTATTCAAATGGTAGCTGCCTTCGCTGAGGTTTATTCCAGCTCCTGCTCGTCTCTTTTCAACGTGACCATCCAAGGGCTATAACCCGCCCCAGCCACCTAAAATGTGCTGGCTGATTCAAGATAAAATCTGATCGGATATTGTTCCGCAGAGAAAGGAGCCTGATGCAGCAGAGCTGGAGGGTGCTGAGCTAGGGCTCTGGAGAGGTCCAAAGGGAACAGCCAGAAAACTGCAGCCGTAAAATCCACGTGTGCGTAAAGCCGGTGATCTCATCGGCACGACTATTTGTATGTGCAGTTGCTTGATTTGTACGTATGAATGTCAAGAAGCATACGTCCATTAAAAATTAATTGCCCATTAAATGCATTTAAATTGCCAAAAAGCTGCTAATGTTACTGTGAAATCATAGGGCACAAGATTACTTAAACGTGATTGTATATTGTGTTCTCTCCCAAACATGAATTGCTTTAGGAAATCAAGCATACGTACGCCTGGAAAGAAATAGGTTGTTTGTTGGTTTGGTTTTGTTTTTACATCAATGAGATCAGCTCATGCCCTTTTACCAAATGCATTGGAGCTCTTAATAAAATTGATGACCACGCTTACTGAAAAAAGCTGGCAGGTTATAGCCAGGGGAAAATAAATTGATTGTTTTTTTCCCCGCTGTGGTCCAAGAAAAAGTCAAGATCCTCTACGGCTGAATAGGAGAATTGCTGCTTGCTTGCCCTGAAACAGCAGCAAAAGGGAGCGTGAAGTTCTCTCACACTTGTGTGCAATGGAAAATGCCTTTAAATAGTACATCTGTGACACCTGGAAGGTGTGTAGGCACTGAATGCAATTAAGCCCTGAATAGATGGTCTCCCTGGAATCCACCTTCATTAACAAGAACACAGCACAAAAATAATGCACAAATTGAAGTGTGAGGCAGAGAGACTGAGCCCTTCTCATCATGGCTCCTGCTGCCTGAGTCAGGAGGAGGCTTCGTTTGACTCATCCCTTTAAATTTCCTAAGACCACGAGCGTCCTGGTTTCGACTCTTCTGTGATAACATTCAGTAGATGCTTAACAGCCATCGCTTCCTGATGAGATTAGCCTGGTGTCCTGTGGTTTCTGGGCACCTGTGCGCAGACACAAAGCAATCTGCTCCCCATCACCCCAGCATCCCCAGCGAAGGGGGATGAATGGTGAAAAGTCGGGGGTGTATGGATCTGCTTAGAGAGCCAGGCCAGCCTTTTAACCTGCAGCTGGGGGAAATGGCAAATGGCTCTTGCTGGCACATCCAGTGTAGTTGGTTGTATCCAGGAAGAGAGATTCGCTTCTGCTCTGCAGAAGGATTGACTTCCCTCCTGAACTCATCCCTGGGGAATTCTGGACTGAACCCAGGCCTTGACTTTCCCTCTGCAGAGGAGTTGATTTTTGGCTTTTTTTGCCTTGTCTCTTCGTAACATTGGTATTATGAAACCTCACTCCATCACTGTAGCAACACCGGCTACTGCTGCTCTCGATGAATCTGATGATCACTTAAAAGAAATGGGGGTCGTCTGCTTGTGCTACCCGAAGCGATTATCCAAGAGAGAGGGAGGCTGGATTGACAATCTGAGAGGAAGTCCTCTCTTCATCCCCAGGAGAGCTACATTGCAAGTCTCCCCAGCAATTCACATGTCCCCCAGACTCTCTCTCCACTGTGTTTCAGCCCTAAAGTGGAGGTCTGGTCTCCAGGTAGAAATGCCTCTGGTGCATTTAGTCCTCGTCCTCTCCAGAGCTGATAAAAATGCAGCTTTTATGATGTGGGCGCCTTTTCTGCCAGGCGCTAACTAAGAAATTGGCTGCTGATTCATTTAAAATAGGCAACCCTTGGCTGTTCATGACTTCAGAATTCAGAACGTGATCAAATCTATTTCTGTCTCTCCGGCACTGAAGTATCTGATCTACAATCTGCAGGTTATAAATTTCCTTCTCTTCCAGCAGTTTTGACTCTGAAGGAGAAAGGAAGGCAGCTGGGAACCGTTTCTAGGGTATCAGTTTAAAACGTGGGTACTGTGTAAGTTTTTTGCACACTTGGAACTTGGTGGTGACGGGGATATTAGACTAGTGAACACATCTTGTTGGGTCATCAGGACCTGTGCCCCTTATGGGTGGTCCCAAACGTATGTAGTGAAGACTGGTTTGTCAAAGAGGTGGAGATGGAGGGAAAGGGCCATACTCCAGGGCAAATTCATAGTTTTGCCCTCATGCGACTTGAGCATGATGAGCAAAGCTCGTCTTGCAGACCTGAAACCTGTGCTCTAAGAATAAGAACAATGGCACCTGATTCAAAACTGCATTTGCATCTTGGAAATGTGTGGGCTGTGCTTAATTGGTAGCTTCCCTCTCCTTTTTTTAATATTGGCTGGACAGTTGTCTAAGACCGTTACAGGTCCCAGCAAAATGCAGCTTTCCCCCTGCCTCTTTTGCATGTCGCAGATGTATATCAAAGCCATGAGTGGCCACAGGCTACTTTCTAGAACGCTGTGTTTGGATGTATGATCTTGTGTATGAGGGCTGGGAGAGAATTAAGTATATCCGTTTCCGCCCTTTAAATTGATGCCAGGTATTTCCACTGCTCCCTGGTTTCCAAATGCTGTGAAACCATTAATATCCTCTTTCTTGTGTTCTGCAGAGTGACCGTTCCTCTGGAAAGACCATGAAGAGCGCTGCCAAGCCTTGGAGTGCTGTGCCAAAGCAAGGGAGCCACGGGATTGACCGAGGAAAACCTCTTCCTGCTGCCTCCTCGGGCATGAAGACCTCCAAGTCCTCCACTTCGCTCGCTTTTGAATCTCGGCTCAGCAAGGTACTAGCCAGGAAGCACTGTGCCGGTGTAGCCAGATAGTGTGTCCCTGCATGCTGAATCAGGTTCATGGGGGCCCAATCCTAGTGCACAAAGATGGGCAAAGAGGTAGTGCAGGGCCAGGCAGAAGCCCCCCGCACCTGAAAGTGGAGCACCACCAGACTGATCCGTGCACCGGATGCATTTGTTGTGCATATTGTGTAGAGAGAGATTAGTCTGAACACAGGGGGTGTCACAGGCTTGCAGACGCTCCAAGTACCTTAGAAATGGGGTATTTTTAGGCTAGGGGTCCAGCCAGTCTGTATTGGTCACTGAAACACCATTCTTCTCAGGCACTTCTGGTATTTCTGAGCAAATGGTGGGGAGGTGGGAGTTCAGGCTAGCTGTGGCACCTTATATAGTGGATGGGGCATTTTTTTAAAATGTTGTGTCCCATCTTTAACTCCATCTGTGATCTGTAAGCTATTGAACATTTGGAAGTTAAAAGGTAACCCAAGTGAGCAGGTAGCACGAGGCTGGGGAGGCAGTGTGGTGAGGTGTGTTTCTGCCATGGAAAGTGGTGAATGTGTTAAGAGCCACTATTAAAAAAACTTGGGTGAAGCCTTTTCTAAAGGTCAGAAAGCCACATTGTTCTGTTTTAGTTTAAAAAATGAGCTGGCAAAAGCACTGCCATCATGCAGAACTTCAGATGTCTGGTTTCCTGCAGTAGATCAATGCTTTGGCTATCAACACTCGTTTGCTTCCAGGGTCCAGGAAACCACAGACTCTGAATCAGATGAGGAGATGAAAGAAGGGAACAATTTAGAGTTGAGAGAGATTGGGTTTTACTTAAATGAGTTCCAGCTCTGAACCCACTAAACCGCTTAATCCTGCTCTTCAGAGACACCCTGCAGAGTTTTGCTTTTTAAGATGCTTAAAAGGTTTCTGTGTCTAAAGGGTTACTAATTAAAGCCTGACCTATGGAGAGGCACAAATGGGGTAATGCAGATGACTATATTCCAAGAGGGATTCTTCCTTCTTGCTTTGGACCAACATCATTTCAGTGTTTTCCTTGGGAGGCAACTGTTTGGGGTGGTTTGAGTTGCATGAATTTCCTGAATACGCCTTCAGAATGAACTTGTATTTACCAGCAAAAATAATTACCACTCGTGCTTATTCAGGTGCAGTAAAGTTTATTGAGTAAACTATGGTGGTGGCAGCGAGCGGTGGATTTTGAGTATAATCCTCCAGTGGGGAGCCGGCTAGGGGAATTTCAGGCAATAAAAATATGAAAGTAGTTCTTTGAATATCCCGTAAGTTTTTGTGACTAAGGTCTTGTAGCTCCGGGTGGCATCTTGCCATGTGGCTGGAAAGTTATGGTACTCATCCCCTGTAGTGCACTGCAGTTTGATACCGGGAGAGGAGATGATCTACTCTGAATGGTGCCAGTCTTTCGTCATAACAGAAAAGGTCCTTTTTTGCTCATTTTGGATGGGCTGTGCAAGTGCGTGCTCCATGGCTGTAGTATATTGTCCTGCCTGGTGTTTCCCATCTCAACAAACAGTAAAGTCCCAGGCCGTGGGGGAGCTATTTCTGAGCACAACATGCATTTTTTTTCTTTACAAAGGCACTGTGTTATCAGAACTTTAGTCATGGGTTTGCAAAAGATTTTGGGGGACTTTGAGTACGAAAACATGATTCAAACATGTGACTCGGGAGTGTCTGAGCAGCTCCTCAGACATCCTTCCATTTTAGGTTTGGAATTAGATCGCTTGTTCTGAGGTCTCGCATCTGTCCTACCCCACTCCTGAATGCCTGGGAAAGATCAAACTGCAAAAGGCACTCCCTGGTCAGCCCGTGAAGTTAGTATCAGTGGTTCCTGCATTTTTGAGCATTTTTGGGTACCGTTTCTCTGCTCATTCTTCTGAACAGAAGATCCTTATTCCACTCTCACTCGGAGACCTTGTAACCGCTGCACAGTTTCTATTTCCAGGGCAGTAACCACCTTTCTACTCAAATACCTTTCTAGACAGACCTTGGGGGAACATGCCTTGTCTTTCTGCAGGGTTGCAGTGGTGAGGAATTGCTTTGGCTGATATCTTTTACTGGATGAACTGTGTTGTTGGGAGAAATGGAGGATAAGTTTTCGGGAACCTTTGTGCCAAAAGTGTGTTGGTCCAATAAACGATATTGCCCCCTCCCTTCTTACCGAAAAAACGTCCTTGCCTCTCTTGTGTTTCCTGGACCACTGCAGCAAGCCTCCAGCCATGCTATGAGATGTGTATGTAGTAATGTGGAGATGTCTGCAGCTTGTTTTTCTAAACCTGGGAGCCAATGCCTTCCTCTGCTGTGATGGATTTCATCCGGCATCCCCCAAGAGCAAATCCCGCTTTTCCATTTTCCCACTTCTGATCGATCCCCATCCTGCTGAGCAAGGACACTAGCAGCAGTGCCCACCAAGCTGTTATCAACCAGCTTTGCTCACTGCTGTTCAATAATAAAGCCCCTGAAGGCCTAAACAGCCCAAATGATTTCAGCTTTCAGATGACATTTCCCTTTGAGGGAGCTGCGTTACTTTGCTCTGCTCTTTCAGTGCAGCAGCCTGCAGTCCTCAGCAGAGCTAAATGCTGAGTTTTGGGGTCTGCTCAGTCCCTAGCGTGCCATTTGTTTCTCGAGAAGCAGGATCTGGTGCAGCTAAGCTTGGCAATTCTCTGTTGATGGGAATAAACCGGCAGCCACTCTCGGTTAGAACCACTCCACCTTCCTGGGAGAGGAGCGAGGTCAGCACTGGAGAACAGTAGCATCCTTTGTGTCATAAGTGAGGATCTGGTGGGGTGTGTTGAGTCAAAGTTAATTCATCTCATTTGCTTCTCAACTCATGGGCCTTGGCCTGTAGATAAGTAGAATCATAGATAATGAGGGCTGGAAGGGACCTCAGGGGGTCACAGCTAGTCCAACCCCTGCTCAAAGCAGGACCAGCCCCAACTACATCATGCCAGCCAGGGCTTTGTCAAGCAGTGTCTTAAAAACTTCTAAAGATGGAGATTCAACAACTTCTCTGGGTAGCCTGTTCCAGTGCTTTACTACTCTCCTAGCGAGAGGTTTTTTCCTAATATCCATCCTAAACCTCCCTTGCTGCAACTTGAGCCCATTGCTCCTTCTGTCATCTGCCCCCACTGAGGACAGTCCAGCTCCATCCTCTTTGCAGCCCCCCGGCAGGAAGGTGAAGGCCCCACTCAGTCGTCCCTTCTCCAGACTGAATAAGCCCAGTTCCCTTGGCCTCTCCTCCGAAATCATGTGCCCCAGCCACCTAACCGTTTTCATTGCCCTCTGTGGACTCTCTCCAATGTGTCCACATCCTTTCTGTAGTGGGGAACCCAAAACTGGGTGCAGGACTCCAGATGTGGCCTCCCCAGTGCAGAATAGATGGGGAAGAATCACTGCCCTCCATGTGCTGGCAGCGCTCCTGCCAATGCAACCCAGGATGCCCTTCGCCTGCTTGCAAACAAGGGTGCACTGCTGGCTCCTATCCAGCTTACGGTCCCCTGTCACCTGCAGGTCCCTTTCTGCATAAATAAATATGTTTGGGCATCACATGCCAAGGCAGGAAACCCTCCTGACTGTGGGGAGAGCGCTCTTCTGGGTGCTCAGCGGTGGCTCCTGACTGTGTTCCCAACGTCCTGTTTCCATGGGTTTCCTGAAAGCACTTTTTATCCCTCAAGGTTTCAGCACTTTCACTGTCCATCTCTGTACCATTACCTTCTTCACCAACAGAGCAGAGAGTGATTCCTTCTGGTTGCTCACAAGGTGGTTTTTCTTGCAGCTGAAGAGAGCCAGCAGCGATGACATGCTCACAAAGCCAGGGGTAACAGCAGGCTCTGGGGTCTCCAGACTGAAGAAGACCATTACAACAGGAGCAATTTCTGAACTTGCTGAGAACCGGCTGAAGCCCAGTACAGGTAGGAATAAATTGGAAGGCAGATCAATATATATGGCCTTTGTTATCGGGTCCTGCTTACCATCTTCTTGATCGGGCAGCTAGGGGAGGTAACGAAGGAAGAGACATTTCTCTGCCTTGCAGAAAGCTTCTCACTAATAACTTGGGGTCAGTTTTCCATGGCAGTACTGGAATGAATGAAGGAAAGGTATCATTTTCCACGAGCTTTGTCTGGAGAGTTTTGCTTTTCCTATTCGTGATTATAGGTTATGAGGCCCACAATGGTGAATTTCTGCTCCTGGGAACACACACTTTTTCCTGAATTTGAATTTAAATAAAATGGGAAATAAATGGGAAATCAATCTCCGTTGCCTTTGGGAGGAGGGAAGGGAAGGTTCAAAGAACACTCTATGGTACAAATGTGATTCTTTTCCCCATCTGCTGTGCTTTCATTGCTGGATTGACTACACCTGTCTTGGCTTTGAATGCAGGATGTCAGCTATTTGATGGATTGAATTAATTTTCACCTAATATATGTTAAAGTTGATGACTTAACTGTGGCACAAGAGGCCCTTAAAATTGCTGATAAATCAGTGCGTCTCCTGCCTGTTCAACATCCACAGTTGTCTTTGCTTTTAGAGGGTTTTATTGGGTTTGTCACGCTGTGTTTTTTCAGTACTGGTCGAGATAAATAACAATGAAAAATAACTCTCCCTGATATAATTCAAGGGTGGAAACAGCTTTTGCGAGTGCAGTGCAAGTTCTCGGTAGTGTCGCTAATCGAATTGTTATTCTCGGGCTTTGCGCGCGTTGTCGTTTTCCGTCCGGTGGTAGGAGACCCACGTGCACTTTGCACGCTGCCGAGGTACGAAGAAGAGCCACGAGGTGGCAGCAGGAGCCGGTACTAAAAGTATTTCCCTCCTGATATCTTCAGTTCCTACCGGCATAGGCGGTTCATCCATGCCGCTGTTGAAACCCAGCAGAAGAATCTGGGTCCTAGGAAGCGGGAAGCCTTCTCCGTCCCACCTGGGATGCACGCAGCAGGATGGTCAAGACCACTCCCAAGCCCGGCGAGGAGTAAAGCAATTAATTAAACAGGGATTCTCAAGTTATCCTTCGCATGGCCGCATCTTAGCAGAATGGTTGTCCCGTCTCCCGCTCACAGCTGCGCACACCCTGCTGTCCTCCTCTTCTTGGAAGAAAACCGAGGCAGGGAGAGGCCCTGACACAAGCAGTGGCCTCGCAGCCTTCATTATGGCTTGTCGTGTGCTTTCTCAGTGCTAACCCCCTCCTTCCCGCTGGCTTCAGCGGTACGCGAGCTTCCAAAGGCAGCGACGCCGCGTGCATACCAAATACCTCTGTGCAAACCCTGGCTTTGCCCGATGAGCTCAGCAAACGCACGCTTTTGTCTGCTCTCTGGTGGCATTTAGAGGGAATGCGAGACCTTATTAAATCTGACCGTGACCTCCCTCTTTATCGCGGCCTCTGCAGGGTTCTCCAGCGTCCGAGCCATGGGGAAGGCAGTGTTGCTAACCAGCCGGGGATTAAAGCACTTCGTGGAATTTTCTTTTCCTCCTTCAGCTGAGTGGTGCATAATGTAACGCTGTAAATTTTTCGCCGTAACCCAAACACAGATCCTATTCTTCACTGAAGCAGAGCCAAAGCACTAGAATTTAATGGAGGCTTGTCACATCACATCCAAAGGCGTTTGAGATTTGTCAGCTAACAAAGAGTCGTGATGCCAGACAAAGATCTTGGGGCGCTTAGAGAGAGTGGGAAGCAAACACACTCGGATATTGTAGCATGGGACCCTGGGAGCACTGCCGGGGTCCCCAAAAGGAATATAGGTGTCAGATATAAAAACACAGGATGCGTCCTGAAGTGTCCGCACCCCTGTGCCTACCCAGCTGCTGTGGATGGCGGATGAATACCTCCATGTGAAATTTCCAAAGGAGTTCATACCTCCATTCGAAATTTTTTAGGGGTCTGCAAATGAAAAAAGGTTGAAAACCACTGATCTAGAGGGGATAGCTTCAGGTGCTGCACAGATTCTGCCTGTGCATATATGCACATGCAATGGGCCTGATCTCTTTATCATGTAAATAGTTCAATGCTGGAACTCTATCCAGGACTTGGCGTTACGATTCACTCTATTTCCAGCTGTATCTTGACGATGTTTGCTCAGTGGCGTTGGGCATTGGAAGGCCTTGGATGGGACTGGGTGTATTTGTAGCTGGCAAAAAGTGGGAGAGAGGTTATAAAGCAGAGCACTCTTGTTATGAGGTCACATTTAAGGATGATGGATACCAAGGGGGATCTTGTAATCCAGTGCATTATCATCTATAGACAGGTTAAGATTGGAAGGCACAAAGATCATGATGGTCTCCGGGAACCTCTCAAGTGTGGGAGGGCAGAGACGCATCATCCTTGTCCCACCATAAAACTTATGGCAGGACAAAACATAAGGATACAGACATCCTTTCCCCTTGTTGCTGTACGACAGTTCCTACTAGCAGCTTTTGCTGCTTTATCATGGCGAACGTCTATACATTTGGGCACAAATCCCCTGCAGGGGATTGCCAGGGTGGGCTCCAACCCTGGGTTTGCAACTGCAAGCATGGAGCTGAGTCCCATGGGGAGTTCCTCGGGTTGGGGTCAGGCACACAGGGCCCCTGGAGCAGCAGGGGACCAGTCCTGCAGGCCCCGGATGACATCTGCACATGCCAATCAAATGGATCAGCTGAGCCAGGAAACAGCATCTCTTTGTAGCCTAAGATAACCTCAATAGAAAGAGGAGTTAAGGTCTGGGCATAGTTGCTGCAACGCTTCTGAAGAAGGTATTGCTAAGGGGGCTCGGACAGTGGGCAAGCTAAGCTGTAGCCCCGACCGGAGAACCATGGAGAGCGTGTTTCCGTGGGGAATGCGGACACCCACCTGCTCGCACAAACAGCGGAAGAACCTGTTGCCAGCGTGCTCACCAAACTCCTCTGGCTCCTTCATTTCCGGCTCCGGTTTGACCATTTCTGTTTTTTTTAAACCGAACCTCACTTAGAGCCTTTGTCTGCCTCTCTTGCCTTGGCATCTCCCTGCTTCATCATCCTTCTCCTTTCTTTGAAACCTCAGCTGAAGTTGGAACTTTTTATCTCCTTTGCTTATAACCATTAATTTTGCTTTTTGGTTTTTTTTAAAGTCTGCGATGGGACGATTTGGCTCTACAGCAGGTTTAGCTGAAGGGCGCTCTGTGAAAGCAGACGAGGCACAGCGGTGGTTCTGTAACAGCACATCTCCGACAGAAAGGCAAAGAAGCCAAGTTACAGAAAGCAGAACTGCTGAGGTTGCCTGCTCCCTTGGGGGGAACCCTCCCACATGTGTGTTGGTGACCTCGAGCAGGAGTGTGCGTTCCCAGCGTCACAGATAATAAATAATTGACACCAGGCCTGCCTGTACAAACATGGCCTATGGCGTGTCGGCTGGGGGGGGTTAAACCCCTCTCCCGCCGGTGGGGGTGGGGTGGAGTAAAAGCCACTCTCCTGCCTTTTTATGCTGACACAGGCTCCCCTGTCTGCCTCATTAGGAGCTGGTGCAGTAAATCACAGAAGGATGGGTCCAGCCCCCCTGCCTCTCCATCACTGGGAAGAGGGGGCGAATCACCGGGACTGGAGATAGATGCAGAGCTGGAATTCGTGCCTTGTGATGCCTGGCCGTGTCGAATGCACGCGTAGGACGCAATGATGCTCATAAGGAGAGCTGCCGTGGGTTCCTGGTGCAGTGTCTCGCTGTGTCGTGCCCTGAAGCGGAGAAGCAATCTTACATAAAAGCCAGATTTCTAAAGCTCTTGCAGCTGTTACTCAAAGTGTTGCCTTGTCCCAAAAGGGGATGGAGGAAAAGCAAAACAGGAGGCAGATGGGGGAAGGGTGGTGGTCTTTGGAAGCGCTTATCGTTTGCATCTATGAAACTATTGACCCTATGAATCCATCTGTGAAACTATCGACCCTATGAATGCAAGCCCATACGCTGGTTTAGCGCGTGGAGACATACAGGTATGGGGAGATGTTGGATTTGGAGACCCCTCTGCCCCTGGGTGGGTGACGCGCAGGAAGGTCTGCATTCCTCAGATCGCGGTGATTATAGGTTTACAAGTGGAACCCGCTAATCGCTTGTAATGTCCCCTCTCCCCCGCCCCCGAGGAATTAGCACTTTGCTACCTGGGAGGACCATCACTGTACAAATGGAGGAGCTGAGGGATAGATGTGGGGGGGAAACACTGCAGCAAGTTGGTGGAAAACCAGGGTCTCCGTTTCCCGTAGCTTCCTGCCAAATCCCAAGTCAGAAACGTTCTGGATTCTCCTTGTAGTTTGCCTAAGGGCCGTTTAGTTGAATCCATCTCACATTCTTCCCTACTGTTATTCTAGCATCAGCAGCTATTGCCTGGCTGTTTTACCCACTCAGGCTCTCATCAGGCACATATTTGTGATTTTTGTGCTGAATGGAAGAAGCCGAAGTAGACTAGGGGTGCGACTGGACTGGGCTGGGGGCACGTGCCAAGCTGAGCCAGCCTCCGTCAGAGCATCCACCAGCAGCGAACACATCTGGGAGACATTCATTTATATCAAGCTCTGTCAGGCTCGGTAGTGTCAATGAGCCTCATAATGGAAATAGCAGGGAAGGGTTATTTATTTTCCTAAGCTGCGGTGCTGGCTCATTTGCTTATTCATGGTGGAGCCCGCACATGTATAGAGCTCTTCGATTTGCCTGCTTTTCTCCGCCATGCTGGCAGCCGTGTTTTGATTTCCTAATATACAGGAACGGTTTATGCCTGGAAACAATTAATATGAATATTGGAGCTCAGTAAAGGTTATAACAAAGGCCAAAGATTTCTCTCTCCTTTCTGTCTCGCTGCCATAGAGTAGAAGGTACCTGTACGGGGCCAAATCCATCTGGTTTGTCTTTATTCCACACACTTCACGCCAGCTTTCTGAGCAAGTCTTTTCAGCCCCGCTGAGGCATTATACCAGGAGTTAC